TTTAATTAAGCCTGTACTAAGAAAGTTTCTAAATACCCTTAATAATAGTGAACCCAAACCTAAGGAGGATTTTATAAGTTAGCAAGAGTGTAATTTGCTTCACAGTGCAGTTATCAGATTGAGAAGCAATTTCATACTACAGAAAATCTGAGAATTTCTTTTATTTGATTTAAAATGTTCATCTTGGCCAGGTGTGGTGGCTCACACCTATAATCCCAGCAGTCTGGGAGGCCGAGGTGGACAGATCACCTGAGGTCAGGAGTTCAAGACCAGCCTGACCAACATGGAGAAACTCATCTCTACTAAAAATTCAAAATTAGCTGGGCATGGTGGCACATGCCTATAATCCCAGATACTAAGGAGGCTGAGGCAGGAGAATCTCTTGAACCTGGGAGGCAGAGATAGCCATGAGCTGAGATCATGCCGCATTGCACTCCAGCCTGGGCAACAAGTGCGAAACTCCATCTCAAAACAAAAAAACAAAATGTTTGTTTGATGAAAAAATGTTCATCTCAGAGCAAAAAATTCAATATGGAATTAAAAGCAAATGAGGTCGGATATGGTGGCTCACACCTGTAATCCCAGCACTCTGGGAGGCTGAGGTGGGTGAATCACTTGAGGTCAGGAGTTCAAGACCAGTCTGGCCAACATGGTGGAATCCTGTCTCTACTAAAAACACAAAAATTAGCTGGGCATGGTGGCTAGCACCTGTAATCCCAGCTACTGGGGAGGCTTAAGCAGGAGAATTGCTTAAACCCAGGAGGCGGAGGTTGCAATGATCCCAAATTGTGCACTGTACTCCAGCCTAGGTGATAGAGCGAGACTCCATATTAAGAAAAAAAAAAGCAAATGATATATATTTTTATCTTGCACAATTTTAGTATAACTTTTCCAAATGAACCAAAACCAAATATTACCTCCAAAAGACTATTTTAAATTTCAAATCTGATAAAGAAAACTAAATATCTTCAGAAACTTTTATAATTTAACACCCCAAGATCTGCATTATTTAAAAGTTTGGTATATAAAACAGTATTATGTGTTTCTATCAGAACTCCAAGGCTTTTGCATATTAGTCAACAAATTCTATTTAAAAATGAGCTACAGGGTTAGGAGTGGGATTTCCCTTTGGTGCGCTAGGGTTGCAACAAGGCATAATATACATACAATCTACAAATGGAAGAGTGTTTCCTGGTAAACACATTTATATTAATTCATTCATTTTTTTCTCCCTCCCAGTCTCTTATGTGCCTGCGTCCATATAGATACACACACACAACGTCCTACACTTACTGAGCATAGGATGTTTCCTATGACTTGTTCACTGTCCACCTCTTCAGCCACCGCTGTCCTCTACACTCTGCTACTTCACATCTCTGTATTTGTTTCTTCTCTCCTTTAGCCTAGAAAACTCCTGTTAGTTTTTGAAGACTCAGCTCAGACCTCTTAAGAGGCTCTTGGCTGGGTGTGATGGTTCATACCTGTAATCCCACCACTCTGGGAGGCTGAGGTGAGAGGATTGCTGGAGCCCAAGAGTTCAAAATCAGCTTGGGCAATATAGCAAGACCTCATCTCTTAAAAAAAAAAAATTAGCCAGGGGCAGTGATGTGCACCTGTAGTCCCAGCTACTCAGGAGAGGCTAAGGTGGGAAGATTGCTTGAGCCCAGGACTTTGAGGCTGCAGTGAGCTATGATCACATCACTGCACTCAGGCTTGGGTGTCACGGTGAGACCTTGTCTCAAAAAAGGAAGAGAGGGAGGGAGGGAGAAAGGAGGAAGGAAAGAAAAGAAAAAAAAAAAATTCAGAATTGTTTCATTTCTTTATGATGGTCCTGTCAAGATCCTCTTTTATTTTATGTTTTTCTGTAGAGATGAGGTCTCTCCATGTTGCCTATGGTGGTCGTGAATTCCTGGGTTCAAGGAATCCTCTTGCATTGGTCTCCCAAAGTGTTGAGATTACAGGCATGAGCCACAGCACCCAGCCATAATTCTGAATTCTCTGGATAAACTTTCATGGTGGACTAAAATAAAATTTAAAGATTATCCACAACCGTGGATTATCCTATCCTGATTCAGTTATAATGTATATTGTAGTTAACTAGGGGGTTGGCAATCATCTTCATATAATATATATAATTATAAAAACATAAAGTATATATATTATGTAAAGAAAGCATGCAACGGGCCAGATGTTTCTCTATTAACACTTCCACTTCCAGAAATATATTATGGTTTTTTTTTGTTTTTTTTTTTTTTGAGACAGAGTCTTGCTCTGTCTTGGCTCACTGTGACATCCACCTCCTGGGTTCAAGCATTTCTCATGCCTCAGCTCCTGAGTAGCTGAGATTATAGGCATGTGCCACAATGCCTGGCTGACTTTTGTTATTTTTAGTAGAGACAGGGTTTCACCATGTTGGCCAGGTTGGTCTCGAACTCCTGGCCTCAAGTGATCTGCCTGCTTCAGCCTCCCAAAGTACTGGGATTACAGGTGTGGTCCACCACAACTGGCTGAGTATATTACAGTTTTATATCTGTTTTGCTTTTTGCAAATCTTTCTGCTTTTTTTTTGTCTTCCAGCTGATTCTTTTTTTTTTTTTTTTTTTGTAGACGGAGTTTCACTCTTGTTTGCCCAGGCTGGAGTGCAATGGCACAATCACGGCTCACCGCAACCTCCACCTCCCAGGTTCAAGCGATTCTCCTGCCTCAGCCTCCCTAGTAGCTGGGATTATAGGCATGTGCCACCACACCCGGTCAATTTTGGTATTTTTAGTAGAGACGGGGTTTCACCATGTTGGCCCTCGTGATCCGCCCGCCTTCACCTCCCAAAGTGCTGGGATTACAGGCGTGAGTCACCGTGCCCGGCCCAGCTGATTCTTTCAAACTGCATCTCTATAAAAGTGGAGAGAATATAATGAATCCCTATGTATTAATACTTATAACACAGTTTCATTATAATTATCAACGCATAATCTACTGGTTAATTTTGAATCTCTGCAGACATTTCATCCATAACTATTCAATATATATCTCTAAATGATCATTTAAAAAAATAATAGAATCAGCTGGGTGCAGTGGCTCACACCTGTAATCCCAGCACTTTGGGAGGCCAAGGTCGGCAGATCATGAGGTCAGAAGTTTGAGACCATCCTGGCCAATATGGTGAAACCCCGTCTCTACTAAAAATACAAAAAAATGGCTGGGCGCCGTGGCTAATGCCTGTAATCTTAGCACTTTGGGAGGCCGAGGCAGCGGATCACAAGGTCAAGAGATTGAGACCATCCTGGCCAACATGGTAAAACCCTGTCTCTACTAAAAATACAAAAATTAGCTAGGCATGGTGGCGTGCACCCGTAGTCCCAGCTACTCGGGAGGCTGAGGCAGGAGAATTGCTTGAACCCAGGAGGCAGAGGTTGCAGTGAGCTGAGATCGCACTACTCCCCCCCAGCCTGGGTGACAAAGGGAGCCTCTTTCCCAAAAAAAAAAAAAAAAGCAAATGATATATATTTTTATCTTGGCGGGTGCCTGTAATCCCAGCTACTCGGGAGGCTGAGGCAGGAGAATCGCTTGAACCCAGGTAGGCAGAGGTTACAGTGAGCTGAGATCACATCACTGCACTCCAGCTTGGGCAACAAGAGTGAGACTCCTCTCAAAAAAAAAAAAAAGTCGTAATATCAATGCACAAAAAAATTACATAATTCTCTTAATATCATTATTAAATACCTAATGAGAGGTCAAATTTTTCCAAATTATCTTATAGATATTTTTATACTTTGTTCAAATTAGCATTTAAATAAGGTTGATTTATTGCATCTGGTTGATATAACCCTTAAGCCTTTGAAAATCAATCTACAGCTTTCTCCTTTATTTTTTAAATTTTATTTTTTGTAATTTGTTGTTTCAAGAAATAGCCATGTTTTTAAGGTTCCTGTGCCTTAAAATAGAGAAGTAGGGCTTCATACTAGTTAGATTTAAGTGTTATGATACACTCTTTCGTTCTGTTGTTTGTGATGAGTCCTATTAAATATAATAAACAAGAAGTTACTACAATTGTAGTTAAAAAGTTGATTCTGGGGACTGGGCGTGGTGGCTTACGCCTGTAATCCCAGCACTTTGGGAGGCCAAGGCAGGTGGATCACCTGAGGTCAGGAGTTTGAGACCAGCCTGACCAACATGGAGAAACCCCATCTCTATTAAAAATACAAAATTAGCCGGGCATGGTGGTGCATGCCTGTAATCCCAGCTACTAGGGAGGCTGAGGCAGGTGAGTCACTTGAATCCAGGAGGCAGTGGTTGCAGTGAGCCAAGATCGTGCCATTGCACTCCAGCCTGGGCAATAGGAGTGAAACTCCATCTAAAAAAAAAAAAAAAAAGTTGGTTTCAGAGGTATAAATTGTTGATGTCTTAAACTCAATAGCCATTATAATGATGACATCTAAGAGAAGAAAAAATAAACACTTGCAAGAACTTCATTTTTTGATTATGCCAGGACATGCACACACGCTAAGATCCTTAGAGAATGGTAAATTTTTTTTTTTTACAAATATTAAAGCCAAACTAAAACTGTACTGTTATTTTCCTAATAGTTCTTCTTAGTAATAATTTAAAACCCTGAAAGTTACGTGATTTTTAGGTAGCTCAATTCTCAGTTGATGTTACGACTCACTGGTAGAAGTCTTCCACTTCTATGAGCCCCAATTGTAAGCTATGTAAATATAAGTAGCCCCTACCTGATAATTATATACATATTTACAAGACAGAAACTTAAGACAAAATGATATTTGGCACTATAAAATTCCTCTCAACCTCATTATATATGAAAGCATCAGCCTAACATTTTAAGTGTGTTACTGTTATATGAGCGTTTAATTATGTAAATAAATCTTTGAAAACCTGCAGACACAACACAAAGCCAACAGCAAGTTTGCCTCAGTTGCTACAGGAGTATAGATACCATGTTAGAAAAGAAAAGAGTCCCAGAGTAGTGTGCAAGGCACTACCTACCATAGACCTGGGCTTGCTGATGGCCACCAGACTAGTGAGGAAGTCTTCATCGTGCAGCTGGCTGAAAACATGGGCGTCATAGGCTACCATAATGGAGATTTCTTCCATCATCTTGCCAGCTGGCCTTTCCACAGCAGCAGCTGCTGTCCCAGCTCCAGACCAGACTATCCAAGGAAAAATCCTACTGCAGCTCAGTGCCAGTGTACACACCCACCTGAGTTCGAGGGGGTGGAGTGTCAAAAATCCAGAAAGAAAGAGAGAGAAAGAAAAAAAAAAAAGCAGCTGCTATCACAGGCTTGGCTAGCAATTCACCCCCAGTAGGAAACTAAAGGAGGTTTCTTATCTATGCAGGAAGTATACACTATAAACACCTTCTGCATTCATAATAGAGAAGCTGGAAAATTTAATTTTTGGAAACCTTTAAACTTCAAAAAAGAAAAAATGTTTCCTAACTAGAAATATCCTATAGCAATAACAACAACAAAAAAACTGATTTGTGTTATGTTCTTGGTAATTAAAAATTTTCACAATAGCTCATCTTCTTACTGCAGTATTATTACATGACGATTGTTCTTGGAGGAGAAGTAAATTTTCTTAGTGTTCTTACTGCTTATTTTTTCATAATCTTAGAAAATAAACAGATGAAAACCATTTTAATTTCTCAGAATTTAAAGAATTCATAGTACAGCTACAAATGATCTCCTGAAGTATGAAAAAAAAATTTTTTTCCCCTCGGAGTATTTCTGTTAAAGAAAAAAAATGCCAAAACATAAAAATGAAACAGGGACAGCAATATCAATTAATAATCATTACTTCTTTTCCTACAAAAAAAAATAGGTATTTTAAGCATAATTTAGTTTTGTGTTGTTATTCAGAAAGCAATACAAGGGTCTCATTTATAAACTGGTTGTTTTGCTCCCATAGATAAAAGTCCTCTTTAAGGTTAGAGGTTTCTTTTAATTATTCAAATCAGTAGATAGCATTAACTGTTGGTACCTTAACCACCAGTAGTAATTTTTAAAATTACAGCTGGAGACCATAAATGAACTGCCATATTTCCAGATGAAAAGTTTGAAAGCTGCCCATAATCACCATTGCAAAGTTGCTTGATCAGGAAATATAATGTATACTAATTTCATGGAAAAAGAATTAAGCAAATAAAAATGAGGGGAAGACAGATAAGGCTTCTCTGAAGTTGTTTTTCAATATTCCTAATTAAGTTAATCTTTTCCCTGCTTTTTCTAGATCATGACGCTGCAGTACTATGAGAAATATTATTTGTTAGAACTAGAAATCAATTTGGCAATGTTTGTCTAAAAATCAAAAGAAATAAGCTACTGGTTGAAATGTTTAGTCTTCATTACCAATAACAGGATTATGTTGTCTAAATTTGTTTGCTTTTCAGAAAACAAAACTCAGAATGAGATCTATAGTGTCTGTTTTCCCATGTTTTCCTAAAGTATTTTTTCATCTACAGTAACATGATTACTTATATAACACTTGTCCCATTTAAATGTAATTAGTAGAGTTTTACAACTGCTATAGCATTCTAGCTTATAAGAGCGAGCACAAGGAAGGAGGGAAAAGCACCTTATTGCTAGGAAACAAGCAAATCTAATAAGCTTATTTAAACAAAAAAATGAAATATTTTAAATAAATCCACAAGATTAAAACAGCTGCAAACTGTGTTTGACCCTTGCTGGAGTCAGTAAAGCATTTTTACTTCATTTTTGTTCGACAGTGCTGCTTTGTCTGTTAAGCATTATTTTCGTTAACATCTTTTTCCTGTACATTTATCCTGACGCTGACTAACCAGGTAAAAAGTAAACGATAATCAGGAGACAAGGCATTATAAGGTGTCCAGGCAGTTCATACCTTTTAAACTCCTTATCTTTTCAGAAGTACTTTAAAAGATACTGTGAACCTCTTCATGCATTCACTAGCACCAGAAGATTTCAGATTATCTTGCAACATTTTCTAGATGTGAAAGCAATTCCTCTTGCTTTCATATTTTTCTTTGCTACACAGTGACTCAGTGCTTCCACACACGGATATCTGAATAAGGTGCACTGACAAAGACACCTGTTGTGGAAGGTAAAGAAAGTACTTCCCACAATGCCTTACTCCCTGCTGGCAACCACCCAGGGGCAAACAAGAGTTATAACCGCAGTTGAGCAGCTGCCTATGCACCCTGGGAGAGTGCATTCAGCCTAACTATAGGTAATCTTCTTGGTTACGAAGAACCCTTATAACCCAAAAGAAAAGGACCAGAAAAAAGTTTTAAATAGCACCTAGAGGTGCTGTACATTAAACTCTTAAAACATTTACGGCATCAGGCTATAAGTGTGCAAAAACATTTTTAGAAAAATAATCAAAGGCGTAAAAATAGTTTAAGTTTACATACACAGAGACTAATAACTTCAAATAATTCAGTCCTTTTAGAATTCTACACAGGTTCTTAGATAAATGTTTTTAAAAGCTTCTATAATTTATAACTTTCAACAGACTGTTCTAATTAGCCACAGTGACTAGAATTATTAATAACATGTCATTTCTAAACCCAAGTGGTCCTCTATTGGAGCTGCAGTGCACAGATTTTCTTGAGCAAGGACACTCTAAGTTTGATTTGCAATCTTCACCTTTTGTCACCCTTAAAATGTTCCTTAAAATTTACTTTTCAGAGTCTGGGAAGGAAAAATTCAAGGTTTCGTTTCTCCTTATTAGGTGTACTATATTTGTGGTTCCAACGAAAAGCATGCTCTTTGAAAACTGATGATTAGAGAAACTGTCGCTCTACTGTCATTTTCTCCAGTCTCAGAAATAACAGCTAAACCAATACCCTCCGAAACTTCAGAAGCTATTGTACACAGTCATGTCTACGAACTCTTGTTTTACCATCCCCCCAGCCCATTGATTCCCCGGGTTATTTACACCTGAGTTTCTGAGGTTATCGCCTTCACACCACGCAACTGCATTGGAAAAAAAAAAAAAAAAAGAAGGCAGTGGTGTGGAGATTTACCTGAGATCAAGGGCCGTGGTGTGGACAATACCATTTGCCGCTAAAACTTTCCAGAAGAGTATCAAACAGGCAACAGAAACCAACCGCACTCCCGGTAATCAAATAGATGGTCCCCAGTTCAAGCAGGAACTAGCTAGCTGTCTGTCCCCCCGGGCAAGTCATTTAACTTCACTAGGTTTCAGTTTCCTCATGGTCATGTAAATTGAGAGGGAGAGAATAGATCCCTGGTTTCCACATGGGTGCAGAAAGTCAAAAGCAATGTGTCCTATTCCTATTTCCTTCCATCAAATAGGTTTATTTGATAGAAGATAGAAATAGGTTTATTTGATAGAAGCTATCAAATAGGTTTATTAGGTTTATAAACCCTTTCTGGATCTTTTTTTTTTTTTTTTTTTATTTTTTGAGACGGAGTCTCGCTGTGCTCCCGGGCTGGAGTGCAGTGGCCTGATCTCGGCTCACTGCAAGCTCCGCCTCCCGGGTTCATGCCATTCTCCCGCCTCAGCCTCCCGAGTAGCTGAGACTACAGGCGCCCGCCACCACGCCCAGCTAGTTTTCTGTATTTTTAGTAGAGACGGGGTTTCACCATGTTAGCCAGGATAGTCTCGATCTCCTGACCTCGTGATCCACCCGCCTCGGCCTCCCAAAGTGCTGGGATTACAGGCTTGAGCCACCGCGCCCGGCCTCTGGATCTTATTAAGAAAATGTTTACGAATAAAATATCTACAATGATTTTTAAATGTTGTTCTGAGATTTTATACTGAGAGAGTATTCCATACTAGTAGCCAATTTTGCCCCAACAGTCATCCTTCTAGAACTGTTCTTTTTAACAAAAGCATACCTGGGTCATACTATGAGTCAAATAAACCATCTATTCTCAAGTGTCAAATTTAGAAACAGCCAAAACAAAAATCAAGAAAAGCTTGAATAAGATGTGGCTGTTCTTCTATTGTTGTGTTCTCTGCAATGCAGCAAAGCAGTTTCATTGTGGGAGTAGCATTTTTTTTATTCATCAGTCAAAGCAGCAAGTATAAAAATTATCTCACCTCACTGGGCACAGTGGCTCACACCTGTAATCCCAGCACTTTAGGAGGCTAAGGTGGGTAGATCACGAGGTCAGGAGTTTGAGACCAGACTGGCCAATACGGTGAAACCTGGTCTCTACTAAAAATACAAAAATTAGCCATGTGAGGTGGCGCGCGCCTGTAGACATAGCTACTCGGGAGGCAGGGGTTGCAGTGAGCCAAGATTACGCCACTGCACTCCAGCCTGGGTGACAGAGCGAGATTCCATCTCGGGGGGAAAAAAAAAATTATCTCAACTCAGGAGAGTAGCAGTCAAGACCCTTTTCCTATATCTCATATTCTACTTGTTGAATATTCTCAACAAGTAGAATCAGATGGAAAGAAGGACAAAACAACTATAAGAGAAATATGGTTTAGGCCAGGCACGGTGGCTCACGCCTGCAATCCCAGTACTTTTGGAGGCCGAGGTGGGTGGATCACGAGGTCAAGAGTTGGAGACCAGCCTGTCCAATATGGTGAAACCCCGTCTCTACTAAAAATACAAAAAAATTAGCTAGGCGTGGTGGTGTGTGCCTGTAGTCCCAGCTACTTTGGAGGCTGAGGCAGAAGAATCGCTTGAATCCAGGAGGCGGCCGTTGCAGTGAGCCGAGATCGCACCACTGCACTCCAGCCTGGGAGACAGAGCGAAACTCCATCTCAAAAAAAAAAAGAAAGAAATATGGTTTAGAGGGCAGAAGGTCTTTTGCAACCCCCACATAGATGGGTGGCGCCCTGAAGAAACTCTGCTCCTCCTGCATGACTGGCCCTCCTCTAATCTTTCATGAACATTCTTCCAGATGTTCCTAAATCATGCTATGCAAACATTCACAAAGTATACATGACTCAATGTTAAGCATCTTCAAAATGACAAAATGTTCACAGTGTTCACAGAGAGACAAAGAACTATGAGAAAGGCTGGTTGTGGTGGCTCACACCCATAATCCCAGAATTTTGCGAGGCCGAGGCAGGAGGACTGCTTGAGCCCAGATCTCTACAAAAAATTAAAAAATCAGCCAGGCATGGTAGCAAGTTCCTGTAGCCTCAGCTATTTGCGGGGAACCCAGGAGGTTCAGGCTACAGTGAACTGCAATTGTGCCACTACACTCCAGCCTGGGTGACAGAATAAGACGCTCTTTTAAAAAAAAAAAAAAAAAAGAACTATAAGAAAGACAAAATTCTATAAATACATGCTTAATTACAGAAAATCAATATTCCAAGCAGGTTTCTATCTACTCTTAGCAGTGTGCATTACAAAACCCATGTGCTCTAAGTGAGGTAACAAAAGAGAAAATATGAATGAGAAACCATAGAAATATCAGTAGAAGAAAGCTTTTCAGAATTTGTATTTCAGAATAGTCTAGTAACACCTACTGAGTTTTTACAATGGGAAAAGAACAAGTAAAAGTTAAGTAAACTTGTTCTCTTTAAAATTATGCAAAGGTAAATAAAGAACACCATTATTCTTGTGTTGAATACCAGCCATTCAGCTTATTATCTTTCCTATCTCTCCTAGCAGTTGCTAGGAAAATTCAAAACCTCAGAAAACAGATTGTTAAAAAAAAAAAAAAAACCTAGTAAACTAAAAAAAGAAAAACCTGTGGGACATAAATACTTGCTTAACAGGTATGCTGGGTATCTTGCTGCCTCATTTGCAACTCACCGCAAAGAATGAGGGTGAGGTAGATTCCAGACTATGAAAGAATAGATGCAACTCTTTAACAATTCAGCTTTTTACCTCATTTGAAACTAAAATCCACTGCCAACACATTCACATTAAATTTTACCTAACCAAAAGTAAATGTTTTAAGTGCTTGTAAGCATTCACTGATATTTGTTATCACCCAAAATGAAGATAGTTTCATACATACCTGAAAACATAAGTAATGCTTCACTGTGCCTCATTTTAAGCAGAATGCACAACCGAATTCTAATTACAAATAACAATACATTAATTTCTAAAACATTCAAATAATTATTTAAAAAATTTCACTAACAACCAAATGAAACCATTTCACATGATATTCATTTTTTCATAAGATTAGAGGGTAGGTTTAGGGAACAGCAACAGGATTTCATGCAAGTGCCCATTTCTCTCAAGTTTTTCTCCCAGCCTGGATAACTCACTTTCCAATGGGACCTCACATGCCTGCATTGTTATATACCAGCAGCTTGCAGCAGGGCACTTGGCTAAAATCCTGCAGTTAAAACTTGACAAGTTTGATGGTATGTGAATTAAATCTTAATTTATTTTAAAAAAGCAACTCAGGCCAGGCACAGTGGCTCACGCTTGCAATCTCAGCACTTTGGGAGGCCAAGGCAGGCAGATCACATGGTCAGGAGTTCAAGACCAGCTTGGCCAACGTGGTAAAACCCCGTCCCTACTAAAAGTACAAAAATTAGCTGGGTGTGGTGGCACATGCCTGTAATCCCAGCTACTCAGGAGCCTGAGGCAGGAGAATCACTGGAACCCAGGAGTTGAGATCGCGCCACTGCACTCCAGCCTGGGCGACAGAGCAAGACTCTGTTTCAAGACAAAAAACAAAGAAACAAACAAAAAAACTCAACATTTACTAAATGCTTATAATGTGTAAAAGGGGGATTACAGATTTTGTAATATAGTAATACAAATAATCTATAACAATGAATATTTACTGAAAATGTTATAATTGTGGCCACTAATAAGTATTCACTACGTCCTAGACACAGAATCTCATTTAATCTTCACTGTGAATCAATAAACTAGATACCATAATTTTCCTTTTTTGTAGATAATTAAAATATGGAGAAGTTTTGTGATTTGACTCAATACCTACAGCTAGAAATAGAGCTGCTAGGATTAAAAAACAGGTGTGTCTGTTTCTAGTGTGCACGCTAAAGGATAAGGAAAGTAGGCAAACGTATACCAGAATCAGTCACGTGTCAAACACTGCTGCTTCTCAAACACTGATGTCTCCTTGACACACATACGTAGGTTACAGACTATTAAAAAAGCTATGTCTGTCATGTAATACAATAATTAGTGATATAGGACTGTGATAGAATGAAGTCCCTCTGCAGATGGGGAAGACTTCATGGAAAAGATGGACTGAATTTAGATAGGCAAAGTGAAATAATTTTTTACAGGGAAAAATGAATTTAGAATGACCAGAGTGGTAAACTGATACTGGACACAGTAGAAGTTTCAAAGGCAGATTTAAATTAGCCTATGGTAGTTTGCAAATATCAGGTCAACAAATAGGCCAAAGCCAGTCATTGAAGATTATTAAATTTCTGCCTTTCTAGCTTCCACTTACGCCATTAGAGAAAGGAAGTGTGGGCTCCAGAGTTTAGAATAACCTAGTTTGATACTTGGCTCTACCACTCACTGGCTATGTGACTATCTTAGTCTGTTTGGGCTGCTACTGGAATAAAACACCATAGACTGGATAACTTACAAACAACAGAAATGTATTTATCACATTTCTGAAGGGTGGAAGATCAAGGTGCTGGCAGATTCGGTGTCTGGTGGGAGCGTGTTTTCTAGTCACAGGCAGAGGGCTTCTCTCTGTGTCCTCACATGGTAGAATGAGGAAATCATGCCTGTAATCCCAGCACTTTAGGAGGCCAAGGTGAGTGAATCGCCTGAGGCCAGGAGTTCGAGACCAGCCTGGCCAGCATGGTGAAACCTCATCTCTACTAAAAAGACAAAAAAAAACAACTGGTCGTGGTAGTGGGTGCCTACAATCCCAGCTACTCAGGAGGCTGAGACTTGAACCCAGGTGGCAGAGGCTGAGGTGAACTGAGATTGTGCCACTGCACTCCAGCCTGGGCGACAGAGCAAGTGAGACTCCATCAAAAACAACAACAACAACAAAAGAGTTGAAGCAATTTAAAGTCACACTACTTTGGCTAGGCTCAATGACTCATGCCTGTAATCCCGGTACTTTGGGAGGCTGAGACGAGAGGACCACCTGAGATCAGGAGTTCGAGACCAGCCTGGACAACATGGTGAAACCTCGTGTCTACCAAAAATACAAAAATTAGTGAGCCTGGTGGCATGCACCTGTAATCCCAGCTACTTAGGAGGCTAAGGGAGGAGAATCACTTGAACCCAGGAGGTGGAGGTTGCAGTGAGCTGAGATCACGTCACTGCACTCCAGCCTGGGCAACAGAGCAAGACTCTGTCATAAATAAATAAATAAATAAATAAATAAATAAATAAATAAGTCACACTACTACTAAAGGAGAGTTATGATTAAACCCAAACATGTGATTACAAAGGCTCAGGTTTTTTCCCACCTACATTAGGTTTATCACAAATGAAAGCA